CAAGTTTCATGCTCCCCTCCCACCCAGATTTGCTATATCATCTATGAAATTACACTGTTGTCACATCCAGAGCAAGAAATACCCAGCCAGAGGCAGGGGAAAGGCATAAAAGTCTGGCATCTGGCATTTGGGGCCATAATGAGAATTTATTTATTTGGTAAATGCAGTAAAATGGAGGTGATCTAGCTGAGGCAGAAGGCTTTGTCTCCTAGGAGGTCTGGTGATAGCAGACTTGGAGGTCCCAGGATTTTGTGAACAAGCAATGCAGCCTTTTGCCACCCACAAATAAAGTTACCATGGCCTGCAAGGGGAATGGGGGAAGGTTTTGTGCTCTCAGAACTTAAGCCGGTGTTGACTGACATGATTAGAATTCATTTTATCACTCTAGGAATCCTTGGAGAAAGTGCTTGAAAAAATATCCTGAATTCTCATTGCATTTCTGGTGCAATAAATGAATCTGGAAAGAATGTGGACACTAATGCTTCCTGCACACATGGATCTTCTCAGATGATCACAGTCAGCACAGCTTGAATTTGCCTCAGCTGTGTGTGTAGCCCTTCTTTTTTTTTTCTCTCCTTTATATCCCAAGCTCTTGAATTTGCCTCAGCTGTGTGTGTAGCCCTTTTTTTTTTTCACTCCTTTATATCCCAAGCAATTAAATTTTAAAATTTTAAGCAGGCCATGGAGCCTTGCTCAGGAACTCTGGGCTGGAAGGAGAAAGCATTGCCATGACCCAAGCACCTCTAAGAAAACCCTCCTTGTTGACCAAGACAGCTGGTGAAGACTTGCTTCCCTGGCCATGGTGGAAGCAGGCTTTCCTTCACTGCCTGTTGGAGGATTGCCTTTTGCTTGCCTCTGGCTGGGTTTGCTGGCAGTGCTCAACACCTTCCAGCACCAGGGGGTCTCTCCCAACTGGCTCTGGGCTGCCCAGCCCAGGCTGGGAAGCAGAAAGACATTCATTCACAATGGTACTGCTGGTTAATTTTCCTTTTTTTATAGCGAGAAATTAACGAGATGGAGTTTGGTGTACTCCCCTAACTACTTTTTACTTCAAAAAAAAAGGGAGTTCCAAGTGCACCAGTGAGGACAAGAACTGTTGGAGGATACAGCCCTGCTCCTCCTCAAGGAAACGATGGCCATGGTCCCATCAGTGCATCTAGAGCAGGGTTAGGGCTTGTTAGTGATTCTCATAATGTATTTAATCTTATTAAACTTCTAATTTTTCTGTATTAATTGAAAGGAAAAGGTATTATTGTTGGAGAAGCAGGTCAGAAAAAGTCCAAAAAACACTGAGTGAGCTGCTGAGTTTTCCTTTTAGAAATGATTTTTGAGCATCTCAACCCTTTGCAACTCAGTCATTTTAAAGCTGTTGTTGGTGACATGGGGCATTAACTCACACCTCTTTAATCCCGGGAAGGGTAAGGTGGCAACACTGGCCTTGCTGAAATCAATAGTGAACCTGCCGTTGATTTTAATGGGAGCAAACTCAGTTTTTGGTCGAGCTGTGTCCTACATGTGTGGCTAGGGAAGGGCAGGAGAAAGGGAAGGGGAAGCCACAGGTCTGCAGCTGTGCTGTCCACTTGCTCTCTCCAAGCAGCTGGTGGTTCTAAGGACGCAAAGCAAGCACCAGCTCCTCGGGTGTCAGTGGCCGCAGTCGGGCAGGCACGGCTGCCCTCCTGTGGGGAGCAGACCGAGGGGCGGCTGCAGGGACACGGGCTGCAGCGTGGGGCTGGCCAGGCTCCCGTGGTGCCCAGCTGAGGATCACCTCGCACCGCTTTGGGCCAGGGTCACCCAGTCTTGCCCTGGCCTGCTCCAGGACTTTAGGAGCCAATTTACATTGCACTGGTCCTTGTGCCTGCAACAGCTGGGTGGGAATCGTGCCCATGCTGCATACAATAGCTGGGTGATGGAGCCACTGGGACGAGCTGTTTTCCTCTCTGCTAGTTCTTCAGTGCTCACATCCAACAAAGGCTCCTCACCTGGACATGTAGTGCAGGAATGTTTCTTTTCAAGGGTGTCCTTGAAAGTCTTCCATACTGAAATCAGAGCCTCAGTTTTAAGTTCATTTTTTATTCTGTAAAAGTTTAATATTTTGCTAACAGATAGTATAAAAAAATAGTCAACCCAACAGTGTGATTGGAGTAAAGCTATATGCTGACAGGTAAACAGATAGCTAGAAAGCAGGAAAAGCAGAACATCTAATCACTGAAGAACAGTTATAAACAGCAATAAAATTAATGTCTATATTAAACTAGCAGTGCAAAAAACAACAAACTGGAAGCAGCTTTACATTAAAAATACAGCTTTTTAAATACAGAAATAGCACCAATTTACAGAAGACAATCAGAAATGTAAACGTGGCAGATAGATTCAAGTATAAGTTATATGCTCAGCCTCCTCAACAACTGACTTGGGACAGAAAGGTTTCACAAACCCTGCAGAACTTCCTGGGTATGCACTTTGTCTCAGTGCAAATACAAATTCTGCTTTTCCAAAGCTACTTTGCTGATGAGTTGTTCATAGTTTATTTAAATTCTGAGCTTTCAGTGAAGGTAAAGATAGGAAAGGTAAACCCATTCCCTCTTGACAACCAACTGCTCCCCCTCACCAGTCCAGGTCAGCAGCTCAGGTGCAGAACACAGCTGCCCAACTGCTTCAGTGGTCTCACTCTATTTTAGTGAGAATTTTGCATTGACAAAATCAAGACAGCATATCAACATCCTTTTTCTCCTAGGTTCAAAACCTGCTTTCCCAGCCATGAGTCACGGAGAAGAAGGAGTCAATCCTCATTTCCAGACCTGCTGTATTTACAGAAACTCAAAACTGTAAGCAGAAATTGGAAATGAAAAATCCATTTTCACTCCCTGCATTTTCAAGTATAGTTAAGTTAGTTATGGCACAGTAACATCACTGACAAAGAAAGGCAATTTTGGTGATGATGCTTCAACTGGAGCAAAGAGCCAATATTACCTCTAATCCTCCTCCCTGCTCCCAGCTGCCATTTCACTAAAAGACTGCATCGTACTAGAGGGAGAGAGAACCCCAGCAGCCTGTTCCTGCCCCAGCAGCAACACATGCACACCAGCGTATGCTAGTTACACACTGCTTTTCAAAGCAAAATTAATCTAAGTGGGTGTATAAGAAGAAATAATTCAGAAGAAAAAATTGTAAACTTTCATAACTGTAGTGTCATTAAAATAAAAAAAAAATTAGCAGTCTGAAGATGTCTCTTTAGCACTCCTGAAATTTCCTATGATAATTCTGCTCCAGATTGTTTCAACTAGGGCTAACCAAGCCCTCTCAAAAACCTGTTATTGGTCTATTCTAAGAGAAGGCCACATTACTCAAACTCTCAGCTTCACTAAAATTCTTTCTTAAATTTCATTTTCATTATAAAAATAAGATGCCCTCATCAAATCCCCAGCCTCAAAGTCCTAACTTCCCTTGACCAACAAAAAAGCACATCCAAGAGTGCATCTACCCTTGGAAAATCAATACCAGTACCAAAGAGAGAGCTGATCATGCTGGCCTTGCATTTGCTAAAAGTCCAGGCTAATGTGGTGTCAACAGCAACACTTTCTGTCTTTTGAACAGGAGACTGCACAAATTTAATCGCAGTTTGCTACATTAGTGAAAACATACCCAAACATAAGAGCATCAGCTCTTAAAATTCTATCCTATATTGATAATAGCACCATCCATTGTTTGAGAACTCTGAATGTGAGATGTTAAGACTTTTCTTCCTCATTATGTTCTCCTAGGGTATACTGATAATTCTTTATTAATTTTTTATATTACTTTAAAACTCAAGGCTCCTGCTCTTTTCAACTTCTTTTTCTGGTTTAGATAGATAAGATCTCCCTTGTCTTCCCCACATGCTCAAAAGCACTATTAACTAGTCACAAAATTCCTGCAAGTGAAGAGTTAGGCACTTAAGTACATACCCCTCAAGTACACTTAAGTAAACAGCTAAGTAGGCACTTAGTAGACTCAGGTTAGACTGAATCTAATAATGAGTGAGGTTAATGACTTATCAGTGTTCCTTAGTCATAAAGTCTAGACTGGATATTTAAACAGGAGATGAAATCTTAGCACAGTCCTCTCAGTGGTTTGTCTCTCCCAAATCACTTTGTCAAACCTGATAAAGGATTCAGATTTTGTTTTCTTTACATCTAACTTGCAAATTTTGTTCAAAGTAAAAGTACAAACAAAAACAAAACAACCAACCCAAGGACTAATACAGTTCATTAACACAACTATAAAAATGTCAACATTCACAGTTATTTTGGTCTTAATATTTTTCACATGTATACATTCAATCATACCGTGTTATTATTAGGTTTTTCTAACCACAAGTGCTGGGCAAATTGTACCACAACCAACTGACATTCAAGTAATCCTACCCTGAGAAAATCTGTTATTCTGAAACGGCAAAAATCCTTTTTTGCACTAATCCCACTCCAACATACAAAATAAAAAGCAAGAGGCTGCACTGCAGAGGCAGGCTTTGATAGTTTGGAACCAAGGAAGCAGTTGCTGTCACAACTGCAAGAGTTTATAATTTTCACCACAGATTTACTCAGGGTAAGTAGAATACATGCAAATGAAATGCTTACCCCAGATAAGTGCTAGACATCTCACTTAAAACCATGAATAAAGAACCCCTGGGGATTCCAAAATAATTTGTTTGCATCTCCTCACAGAAATCAAGAGAGTTTTCCAAATTAAAATCACAATTACAATTTGACGCCCACAAGGCTGTGTGAAACCCAGAATCTGGATTCAAATCAGTACTGGAGGAACAATTCAATAAAAGGATTTCTGTACCAAAGGTCATTTTGAAGAAGATGGCTAACAGAACCAGTGGGTGAATGGATAGTGGGGAAGCATGCCAAAAGGGGTGACATTTTAACATGCTCCTCTTGCCGGGTAAGAGCTTGTTCTCTTGTAATTGATACAGGGTCTGAGGACAATCTGCCCACCCCTTGCAAAGAGTGGAATTAGTCAGGGCTGGTACTAGAGATTTCCAGTCTCCTCTGCACAGAGCTGGCATTTCTGGTCTGGTTGCCTTCATTTTTCTTCCATGCCACAGGGTCTCCAAGACTTCCAGGAGTTTTGAAAAATGCCTCATTATGTGCAGGACGAATACTCTTGGGAGTGAGAGGAGCTGACGAAGGCTATTTGTGGAAAAAAAAAAAAACAAAAAACAAAACCCCAAAGTGATTCAGCATAGTTCTCTCAAAGTCTAGACACAAGCAGGCAAACAGAGGACAGCTGCGAGGCATTAATCCCTGCACCCTTTTCCATTACATAGTGAAGAGAGATCAGAACAGGGCTCAGGGGATAATCCAGGATACTACTACCTGAAAACTGTTGCAACCAGCTGATTCCAGAATTCTGACACAACCCTCCTGTCCTCCTAATGTTTTTCTGTAGCCATTGCATAACACATAGTGACACTATCAGATGGGGAAAAAAACTTTAGATTGCTGGGGGATTTTAGAATTTCTGTAAGTTATAAAACCACTTCATTGTTCAGTACTAAACATGCTATGCTGGGCTATGACTTCAACAGCGTCCCACACCCTGTGCCACCCGTGAGATGACACGCACAAGCTCAGTGGAAGACCAGCTCTCAGCATGCCAACTCGGCACTGACACCAGCCTGCGGCACACGCTGCCATCAGGCACCTGGCACAGCTCCTTCATCACCACTCCTGCCCACCTGTCCCCCTTACCTGCTGCAGCTTCAGAAGGGTCACCGGGTGTCCCATACACACAGGGGAGTCCAGCTTAACAGCACTGCAAGATCTTGTAAGGACAGGACTCAGGTGCAGAGCCGGGGGAGCCGGCTGCTGTGGATCCACCGAAGGGGCGGGTGAGACCTTGGGGGTGACAACGGCCGTGGTGCTTATGAACACAGGGGTGGTTGATGCCAGGCTGGACATGCTGAAATTCGTGGAGGCAGCAGCTGAGAAGGAGCCATCAGGAACTGAGGAAAGAGGACTGGTGAACGAAGGAGAACAGACGAGAGGGAAGGAAGCCAAGGCTGCTGATGGCACCATGACACAGGGTACACTCAGAGAAGGCAACTGGTTCGCAGCCAGGCTGATGGCACCAGGGGCTTGGTTTGCAGAGAACAGGAAATTAAAACTGCTTAATCCTAAACCAAAAAGAGAAAAAACAAAGCATTAATAATATTGAAAAAGGGAATTAAACTACTGTAACTTCATCTACAATAGGAAAAGTGTGTGACAGTAGAGAAAAGTCTGCCTAGGAAGTAAACTATGACAAAACCAATAAAAAATAAGGAAGAAAAGTCAATCCCCTAACTCTTCCAGCTGCCTTTCCTTATTTGCCTCCATTTTCCCCCCTAATTGTCTATTCACTGTACCTGCATCCATTTACTTTGGTAATATGAAGCACCAACCACATCCCTTACTGTTTCCTGCTCCTAACTTTGATTACAAGCAATATCCTGGCTAAATAAACTTTTTTTTCCCACTAACTGGAATTATCCTCTGCTATATGAAAACATAGACATTACTTTTAATGAGGAAAAAAAACCCAGACAAACCAAACCCAACAAATGGAAGACACCCACAAGGATATATCACAGAGTCATTAATTTTGCTGAGAACAGCTGAACTACTGTGTTGAAGCAGAAGCTGCTCTGGCTCCCAGCTTGTCTGATCTTCCAAAACACCAGGATCAGCATTTTTAAACTGAGCATCTTCAACCTAAGTGAAATGCCATAGACCCCACTCCGTGTCACAAGTGACTCAAAGACTAAAGCAGTAGTCGTGGAAATCTGCCACACATCCTGTTCCTACAAAGCAGTCATCCACTGCACACAAACACAGGCACTAAACATGGTGGACACGAAATCCCACTGCAGTATTTTCAACGGATTCCTCTAGATCCCCTCAGTGTCATACAAGCAGGGCTGGCTGCATTCCCAGTGCCTTGGGCTTCAGGGGTTATACTGATAATGCATGTTACAAGACAGTACAAAGTTTGAAGGTGATGAAATTCATACACTCAGGGGATGCTGCTGTTCTGTATTGGCCAGCTTTCTGCCAAATCTAGACTTCCAGCTTCTTTGAGATTTGAATGCTGGATAACTGTCTTTTTTGTACATAATTCAGAATTCATAACTGTCTTTTGTACATAATTCAGGCATGCAATGTTCAATGCTATTAATGTTTGGGAACCTCACAAAAATGTCTCTTTTCAGAGCAGCAATAGTTCACATTGAGTCAAGAGATTTCAGAGTTACTAAACTACTACAGAGAACTGCTGTCAGGGTTTTTTTATGCCAAATATTCACCTATTTGTAGGACTCAGTATTTGCTGAGTGAACAGATACAGAGGTTTGGGTGCCTCTAGATCTCATGGCTGTCCTTACCAGTAGTAGGCTGAACATAAAGGTACTGTGGTTGGAAAGGTTGATTGGCATTTTCTTTAGAGATGTGCTCATTTCCTGGAGGGGGTTCATCAGGGTCTTTTTTCTGAGATTGTTTTTCTTGCTCCTGACAATCTAAAGGCTTAGTAGACTCCTTGTTTGCCACCTCTGGAGCAGCAGGACTTGCAAGGTCAAGATGATTTGTTTCTAGATGTACAGCAGCTGAACAGCCACTTCCTGGGGAAGATTCTGCCTTGGGTGACTCAGAAGGCTTCTAAACAAAAAACAAAAGGGGAAATGAAGAGTTCAAACTGAAATAAAACAGTGCAATACCTCTCATGAACTTTCCCCATGCATCTGTGCAAAAGTGCAGCACAAACCTGATTAGAAAATCACCAAGTTAAAAGTTTTGTTTGGGGATTTGAAGAGTCATCTTAGTGATACCTAAACTCTGTACTGTTTGCTGCAGTTCACATTCAGTACTTGGATACTACATAAGAAATACCTGACCTCTGGGACTACTTTTTTATTGATAAGAAAAAACACTTGATTCAAGTGGTTTATATTCAATATTCAAATGGCTTATATGACATGGTGTTGAGCTTGACCCCTACTTCCAGTATTTAAGAGAATTCTGAGATAACTGCACATCACCTTCATCATCATTGTCTTTCTCTTACCAGCCTGCTGTGGGCAACTCTGGGCCTCAAAGAGAGGTACTCAGGCTGGAGAGTAGGGGAAAGAACAAATCACATTTGCTATAGCTCAGTAGAGTAAGCAACGCTGCTGCTGTCTGGGAAAGCCCAAGCTAACAGGGGAAGATGAGAAGTAATAATTACATTGATTTCTTCCCCTCTGACCAGTTGTTTTGCTGCAGAAAATGATCAGGATGTTATTTCCAAAGAACAGCTGAGCATCACATCACTGTGCAAAGCAACCCAAGTCCATTTTCCCCTGGTGGTGTGAAAACATCTCCCAGTAAATGCTTATACTTCCTGATACAGCCCACTTGCAAGTTTATTAACATGTGGGAGACAGCATTTTTATCTCTCAAGAGCAGTGTACTGAAATTTCCCTTCTGAAAACACTGATTTAGACAAAAATCCTTCCTTACTATGAGAAAGCCTAAGTGATAATGAAATTCACTTTACCTTGGGTACTACAAGTGAGAGGGGCAGATCATTGTGCTCCAACGTCTGCTTTTTGGCAGCTGGCTCTTCATCATCTACAGGTGCAGAGGGCGATGAGCACTTGTGGGAGCTGCGCTTTTGGCAGCCAGAGGGAGGTACAGCAGCCTGAGCTTCTGCACTCCTGTTTCCCAGGTCTCCCGCAGTGGGCAGGTGCTCCCTCAAGTTATTTTCCTGAAGACCACCACACAACATAAAAAGGGATGAAGAAGGGAAGCACAGGAAGGGTTGGTTGGGGACCAGGGTAGCTTTTCCATTTTCTGTTTTGGAGGCTGCTGGAGTGGAAGAGTGTGAAGCCTGGCTGCTGATACCATTTGGTAGTGAGAAGTTTGGCACATCTGCCTGAACCACAGGGAAAACTGCCTGAGGCAAAGGGTTAACACAAAAATCAGAGTCCCCAGGAACCGGAAGAAGGGAGAAAGGTAAGCTTATGTTGGAGCTCTTTGCTGAACTTAGTATCGTTTCAGTGTCACAAGCTTTATTCCTGAAAAACAAAAAAAACCCAAATAGTAATGAATATAGGAAGAACATTTATTCCAAAATTGAACCCCTATTCTATCCTTAGAAGCAAAGAGATACATATTTGGACATAAATGTGGAAAAATTCAACCCCCAAACAACAATTTTTATACAGTTTACAAGAAGGGTCACTTTTTATCACTGCTAGTATCACAGAAGCAGAGTTCTCAGGTTTCTGATAGACCAATAATGCTTTTGGCTGCACTTGACTAGTCAATAATTCACAAATTAATTCAAATTGGAATAGGTATAGAGAAGACAGATGACAGACAGAGATGCCTTCCATGGAATCATAATTTGCTCAAGCTACCCAGACAATAAGTCAAAGGATGCAGGAATTACCTATATAAACACATATGACAGAAAGAACTAGTGAAGCAAAACACCAATACTAGTACAAGTACAGATGGGTGTAAAATGACCATGGGGAAAAAAAAGGCTGTGCTGACATCCAGCAATATTAAAATTGTAATAACTAGACTTTATGGCAACTCTTTTATCTCAGTCTCATCAATGGAATCTATCCTTAAACTAAACATGACAAGCACAAAGCTGCAACTGGACAACAGCTAAGACCAACCTACCCAGTATCTTCTTCTATTTTCTGCCTGCAGATAGCTGCTAGATTTATCATTTCCGAACAATTTTCATCTGAATTCACGATACAGGCTGAAAGAACAAAGAGGAATTCAATTAATCACAGACAGGTTTACCAAGCATATTTTGATACTGGCCATATAAAATAATTGCTATAATTTTTCAGTCCTGACATATTTTTATAACATCCACTAATCACCAAGAGCCAGAACCTGCAAGACACTCAGAACTCTCAGTCCCACTGGAGACATGTTCAACATCATCATTTCCTATAAGAGGGAACTGTGAAAAGCCCTGTAATTACTTTATCTTTTTTAACAACTGTCCATTACATTGTTACAGTAAATTTCACTATATTAGGAACCATAAAATAAAGCAAGCATTTTGTGGCTAAAGAATTTTTCTTAATCAAGTTCTCACAGAAGAAATTGTAGTATAGTTGCAGTTAGTACAGAACAGAAGCATTTAACTGCAGAAAATAAACTGCAGATTCAATTGCAGTATGGCCCAAATTCACCTCATGTAACTTTAGGCATTTGACTGCAGGTTCTAAACCAGAAGTTTCATTGTCATGTGCACAGTAGAAATACAGGTATCTCCCAAGAGTAGATCACATATTTAATTATACTGATTCACCCAATCAAGTGCCTTAAATTGGTGCATGCTCTCACTTGGGCAGGTCCAGTGGGACAGAAAAGAACATGCTTCATTAGTAGTTACCTTGCCTCTCTTGACGTGGGCTGTTAGGCTCAGAACAGACCTTCCTTCTGGTTGCCTCACAAGGCTGTGCACTGTTAAATGAAGCGTGACGTGTAAACCTTTGCTTTGCAGTAGCACTGCTCTGGTACTGGGCACAGGCTCCTCTCTGTGTCTCTGGCAGAGGATCCGATGTTGGGCTGTGACCTCTCAGCTCATCTGTAGGGACATAATATTGTACAACAATCCTTCAGGCAACACAGCTCATAGTTTAGGCTTCTGCCATATTACCAAACTTGGCATTAAGGGAAGAGGCAACCTCTACATTATCTCAAACCTCACAAACTGGAACAAACCTAGAACTCAGTAAGCACCAGTGGACAAAGTAAGGGCTTCCTTCCTATCCATTCCATAGCAGCTACAGCAGCAGCTACATTCCAGTGTGCTAGACAGGAGAAGAAAGTGTACTAAGATAGTATTTATATTATCCTTCATTTCATTTGTTCCTGGCACTGTCCTGATGCAAATATCAAAGCCAAAAGGTTCCCTTTGCTCTGGCTTCCAGCCAAGGAACATCATCTTACAGAGATGTGCTATCCCACCACCTTGTTCTTAGCAGACAAAGCTTTTGTAGAAGGGGCCATATGCAAGAAACAGCCCTGCTCTAGCTTGTTGCGGCCCCTTACAAAGAAAATAATTCACTGTATAATTATGAAGGAATTACCAAAATTTTGCAACCCAGAACAGCTGTGGACCCAGACTTGAAGATGTCAGTGCTATCTGCTATTGCTCTACAATTCACACAGTTATGCATACAGTTATCTCAGTCAGCATAAACATACCTACAAGACACAGTGTCCTTCAACATCCCTCCACAGACCCAGATCTTGGGTGCAAAGTCTAACAAGGGCAAATGTTGAGCTGGCAGCAATTAATAATCACAGGGTATGCATTGTATGCTGAGCCATTCTTTACACACAGAAAGCAACCTTTTACCGCTTGGGAAGGGACTGCCAAAGCAAAAAGAAAATAAATGCAAGCTACACAAGTTACCAGTTTTTTCAGGGAATTCCACAGGCCCAATCCACTTGAAAGCTGGTTTGCGTCCTCGCTCCTCCGTGACGTGGACTTTCTTGATCAAGCCTAGGCTGGTGAGAACGTTGGCAATATCATACAGTCTTCGTACCTTTGCTAACCAGAGAAGGCAGGAGTAGATAACAGTCAGGTTTACAATGCATATAGAACATATCCATGTGCTAATTTCCTTCCAGACTATCACCACAGCTTTCATAGATGAGGTGGGCAAAATCAAATTGGGATGGACTTAGGCCACCTCCCATGAAGTCTGCCATGCCAGCTCCCATCTGATTGTCACTGCTACCTCATAGCTTAGCTGCTCAGGTTTAAACTCGTCTGCTTCATTTTGATGGATATAGGTTAGGGAGTGATTATAGCAACTTGCCCAGAAAAGGCAGCTACCTCCATGTGGGTAAAGAGAAGCTGGCAAAAAGCGGCACAAGGGTGCACAGCTGATCACAAGAAGACACCTATTTATAATTTCTAAAAATGTGACACACTCAGAAAAATCTCTGTGACTGTAGTAAATAACATCTTTGAGCTGACTATGATACCCACATATTTTCAAGCTAAACTCCTCACATTTTTTCTTATACTTGGTGTAGAATTTCAAGACTGAAGTGCAAGCACTTTATTTTAAAGTACTTGAAAGACTTAAAAGTCTTTATCTCAGAAGATTTATTTACTAATGCTAAGTTCTCCCATGTTATCCAAGGCACTGAAGTACTAATCCTCACTAACGGAAAGCAAACCCTGCCATCCAGCTGTAAAAGATTTCTGGGGTAAAAAGGAGAAGGAACATATTTCTCCAGAGAGAAAATTAATTCCATTAAATTAAACAACATGCTTCAGTTCTGAAACATCATTCGGAGCAGTACAGGAAACAGAGTTTAAGTATTAAAAAAAAATAAATAAATCAACAACAACGCATTTTCTTCTTATTCTGAAGCTAAACTTGGAGATAATTGTCAAAGTGACTCTTCCCCACACCAAGCTCTGTTTTCACAAATATGCATGTGCAATATAAAAAACGCCAGAAGATATTTCAGGAAAAGATGCACAAATTGCTTTTGCTGTTACTGGTGTCTGTTTACTGTCAGTCCAAACATGCCCCATTTTCTTTACTCACTGACTGATTGATTTGCCTCTCATTAGCCATCTTACTTTTAAATTTGCTGTAGTCCACTGTATCCTGGGTTTCTTCTATCAGTATCTTTGCTGCGATGTCCAGAGTGACTATCTTGGTCTTGGAGACAAGGAACAGCATGACAAACTTTTGGCTCATAATCCGCAATGACTTGTCCTTTCTGCTGTTTGCAGATGCTGTGTTACAAATAATACCCAAGCCTCTTAGCATATGTCATCCATCACAGCCAGAAAGCTAGTAAGAAGGTTTCTCACACAAAAAATAAGTAAAGTATTTCCATGCCAGAAAGCAGAAATTAATTGAAAGGCAGCAAATAATTGATTAATGCAGACAGGAGTCTCTCTTCAAAGGGCAATAAAAATTCAAACTTGCAGAAACAGCTTTTAGGAAGTGAAATTCCAAAGCTGATTCTATGTTATGCTACACAGTTGTGTGCCACTGTAATTTTGTGACTCTAGTGGACTTTGTAACTTAAAACCATCATGTGTTTTGTGGGCAGCATGCAAAATGAAGATGGTTCTTTCTGACAGGATAAAGCATTACTGTCAGATACAGGTGGGGAAAGAACTGGATTGTTCAGCAGAACTTCCTGCTAGTCTGTAAGACAGAGAGAAAAATCTGTCTTGAGACCTATGTTAGGGACAGAATAGAAGGAAGAATTCTGTACTTTCCGTGGTGAATTCAGCACCTTTTTGCAAAGGATAACTTTTTATTATTTAATTTAGAGGCAAAGAAAGGGAAAAAGTGACATAGTAAACTGGAGAAAGAGATTTTGTGTCTGTGTATCACCACACTTTTAGTAATCATCCTACCAGAGGTGCAATCCGGTTCTGAAAAGTCCAGTAATGGTCTGTCTTGAGAATCTGGAATAGTTTCCTTTTTCCGTTCTCCAAATTTGTATTCTAAGTCCTGTTCCTTGTTCTGGGAGGTCATTAACTCTCCATACTGCAGCTCTCCTGCCTCCTGAAGCATTTTCAGAGTTTGATTGAGGTTGTGCCGGCCATGCCAGCAGTATTGGTTCTTGGCCACACGACTGACCAACTGCAATGACTCCAGGACGTTCACAATATCGTAAATTCGTCTCCTCTCAACTCCTGTTTGGGAAGTGGGGGGGAGCAAATAAAAAAGACATAGATGCTCATTTTAGTTCAGCAGAAGCAAACAGAGAACAGGTTGTTCTCTAACAGACATTTTCACTGTTCACGTGGACACATTCTATTAGATACATCTATATTTGCACACTGAAAATCTGCCTTATGTGTGGCCAGCTTCACAGTATGTTGCTCTTTGTCCGCTTTCTTAACTTCCAGCCCAGCCATGGCTGCAGCTCAAAGCACCTACACTGTGTTTAGAACTGATTGCAGTCTGCCAGCCCCGTTCACTCAGACCTACCCCAACTGTCCCAGGGTCTTCAGAGCACTTTGGCCCTTCCTTAGAGAGCTTCAGCACTCAGACACATAGCTGTACACAAGCCTGTGTGTAACAGGGCAGAAAAGGGCCGGTCAATGCACAGAGATAAAAGCCCCTCGTACAGGAACCAGGGGGAGTGCAGTCCTCCACTTGCATTTACAGTGACACAATTACTTTTACTTGCTAAGCAAGTACCAAGTAAAGGGGCATCAACAGTTTCACAAGGTGCAGAGCGCCAAAGAATGAGACCTACTGTTCTCAAACACAACAGAAACAAATTATCCGTGCTGGCTGGGTCTAGTCCTATAGGAAATTTATGAAATATGTCCAACTTGAGTTCAGCCTGACTGATTTGAGCAAGGTTGGGGACTGAATATGAACAGGTTGGTGGCAATGCTGTCCTAAGTGCTTGTGTCCAGCGCTGTTTGAAGCATGGCTGTTATATGTAAAACAATGTACTATAAGCTGGTAGCAGCATCTGCACCAAAAGTCTTCTAACAGTTAACATCAGCTGAGCAGAACAAGTGCTAGTTAGGGTGAAAGGTTTTGAAAACTTCCCTGCGGGAGGCAAGGCCATAATGTACCTGGTTACCCATTTGAAGAATAGGCATAATACTTGCCAGCCTCAAACACCTATTGGGTGAAACAATTCATGAGTATTTCCAAGTGTGGGAAGAATTTGGAGCGAAACATAATTCAGAAAAACAAGAGTGTTACACATATCCTGCTGTCTGTCAGGCACCAGCAGTACGGCCCCCTTTGTGGCCTTCCACACGTCTTCGGTGAACAAAGCAATATACATTTGTAGCAAAAGCTGTATCACAGACATCATTTGTTACATTGAGAGCAGCAACATCAGCAGGGGGTAATTTTGTGGTCACTGAAGCAAATGGACACAAGCAAAGAAGGGAAAACCAAAGGGAGAAGGACAAGCAAAACCTTCCCCTTTCTGGGAGGTAAAATTTCCAACAGTAAGTTTTAGAAGAAAGTTTCTGTTATTCAGGAAAGCAAGGTAATGCCACTCCCAACACAGAATAGAGCGCTATTCATGTTCAGCTGTACAAGGCTGGAGTATGAGCATCTCATGCAAACACATAAAGGAGTAAATGCAGAATCTCAAAGAACAATTAATTTAAAAAATAATTTATCTATTTACCTAATCTGTTTCTATCCTATTTCCAATTCACTCTGCCAAGGCAAATAAATGGGTATTTCGAGGCCTTTCTTAACAGAGTCACAGAAGACATCATTCTTCTGTTCCTTTTCTTCCCAAACCAGAAAAATTTGCCACATCTTTTCTGTTAATACCTGAGTTTTAAATGTAGACACAAGATTTATTTAGTTTAAGTCCAATTTTGTAAAGGCCTTCCTAGCTAAGAAACAACCTCTCCAAGGACTCAGATATTTTTGTTATTAATGTGTCCTGTTTGTTATTAATGAGTCCTCTCTCCCAAGTTTTATTACTTCTTGCAGATATTTCATTAATCTTTCAACTAAAACCAAACTTAACAGCAGAACCAGCAAATGTGCTACTCAAAACAAGACCTTTTCTCATGGTACTCTTGTAGTTCTCCCAGTGCCTTCCCATCACAAGGTGATATTCAAAGCTAAGGTAACCTTGATGAACCACGTGATCTCAGAAGATACGATGTCAAACATGTTCACAACTCAGGGAGTAAACACAACTGATCTCCTACACATACCAGTTTGTTCATTTTGGCAAAATTTGTTGTCTGTAAGCCCTCCTTCAGAGGGTTTGTAAATCCTATCTCCTTCAGTGTTCAATGAATTGAATATTTAAGAAAGCAACAGAGTTGGTAAACAGCTGGAAGCAAGATCTGTCCAGTAAAAAGTGCAGAAAGTCAGAAAGCAGATTTCAAAATGGTAGTGCTACCAAACAACAAAGACACTGAAGAATATTAGGCATTTCCAACTCTTGATTAGTATGATTAGAAGAGCATCCAGACCCTGGGAAAGGTAGATCTTGAATGTAGTCTGTTAGAATATGATCTTTGGAAGGCCCACCTGTTAGGTTACCCCAGGGGATCAGTTACCCCAGTTTCACAGGTATACATACCAAGAATTGAAGCCACTTCATCCAAAGAAATGGTAGTTTTCTCTGTTGACAATGGATAATTTGGATAGCGAGCTAGAAACTTTTGGCACAAGAGTCCTAAGCTTTTCTGTTTTCTGCTGGGCCTCTGCTTTTCAAATTCATCAACCGTGCTGTCATCTACTATAACATACTGTTAAAAAATAAATGTTAACCCTTTAGTGCAGAGCTTTTAAAAGCAAGACATAGTCAAGTGAGGCTTATTTCAGATGTTATCAATATTTAAGATCAGATTTTCTAATTAATAAAAACATGGACTCCTTGAAAGCACAGAGCACTTGGATAACACAATTGCAAGCTCTTCTTATTTCATCACACAAGACAGCTACAGAAAAAAATCTTATCTGTGCAATCATGAAATAGTGGTCATGCATAAGGAAAAAAACCAGTAAGATCAACATTCAAGACTAGCAGATGGTAAGATTATACTTGGAAAGAGTATTTCCTTTGGAAACAAGAAGAATATGCTCTCAAACACTTCTGGATCTAATAAAACTGGAGATGCAGAAGCCATCAAGAAGTTCCTGCAATACCTCTGTTTGCTGAATTTTATAGTGACTCTATCACTTCAAGAAACTGGTGACTGGGGAAGGGGTGGGGGCACTTTACTCAGAGACTATAAAAGGTGCTAGTTCAGTCTCTCAAACCTTAAACTTAGTCAAGATGTTAGCTTAAGTAATTCTGTAGGATGGTCTGAAAGTGGTCTTTCTGACCCTGCAGTGGGAAAAAATAGAAACCAGCAAAACCGTGGTGGCAAGAATGTAGGAAGAGGTATGTTTGTTTATCACAAAACAAGAATGATGGAGGATTGTTTTGCACTGGTAACTCTGGGGTTATCTTCTGTGTTATAAAAAGGAAAAGAAGTCTTGCCCTCTGGCAAAGAAAAGCTGAAGGTGGTGGTAGCTGTTGAAACCTGTGTTTCCTAGTTTATGGGATCTTAAACTGTCTTTAGCTAGCTGCAAGTAAGTTACCTTGTGGCAGGCTGGTGCTCTGGTAGAATTGAGTTTTATGTGGTACAGAAATAGCAGTATTCTTACTCTAAAACTTTTCCTTCTTTTGCATGTTACCCTTCTAAGTGTAGAAGATTATTAAATGAAAGTTTTATTAACTAGGAAATAATTGAACTCTTTATAGTAGCTACCCCAAAAATGCTGTGTGATCTTAACAGGCTTGGAGTGGTAATGAACCAACCTTAAACATCAACTATTTTTTACCTAATGGACACTATGTTAGGAATGATCTCTAGGGAACTGTTTGCTTAGTTATGACTAGGAAAACTGCACAATTTTTACACTACTGTTGCTACTGCAGTTGCTGTAAAAACTACACTTCCAGAGTGATCTGTACCTATGAAATGATACTTCTCAGTAGAAGGACCCAGAATTATTGTCCTGTAGCTGAAATCAACAGGGAAGGATATCCTACAAGAAATAAATGAGAGGAGGAAAAAAAAGAGCATGAAGGAAGAAAACTGCAATGATGCTTACTACAGTGTGATGTCATTCTCTCCAGGGACAGACTTAATGAAGTGAGGACAGGAATCAACCCCTGCATTGCCTAAGTCCTGTGAAGTATAAATTTTAATGCTTGACCTTGCTTTCTGACCACTAGTTTGGGGGCTGTGGTGAAAGTGGGAAAAAAAAGCTTTTGCAGACCACTTTGCAGGACAGTTGCAGATGGGGTCTAAGATTTGGAGAGTATGTTCTCTCATTGTCGAATTTATTTTTGAAAAGGATGCTTGTTTAAAACAGATCTGGCAATTTTCTTTCTAATGTGGTCCAAAAGCACTTCACTTGGGGAAATTAAACATTTAAGCTCTACTTCCTTCATTGTCCTTTTAAATAATATTCAGGCTCTTGAGGGGACCTCAGGTCAATTACTAGGTAAGACAGTTACTTTTGAAGTCCTGCTGCTCAGACATGGCTGTGTAGGCAGCTGTCCTTGGGAATGTCTTACAATTCTGCACCATTCCATAGGAAGCAAAGAACCAGTTGGAAGAAATCTGAGGAGCAACTTAAGGAAGATGTGAATCCTAACTGAATACAAGGTGATCGTGTTCTGAGTCTCACCTGTAACGAATCAGGTGTGTCACTCTGCTCACTGTTTTCTATGGGTCTGAAGAGCTCTTTCTTCTTTTCCCTGTCCCTCATGTCAGGACTAGCAGCACTAACAAGAATCTTCAGGTTAGCAGTAGGAGTCCAGGGATCAGGTTGAGGTCTGTCAGTGATCTTAACAGGTGTAATTGGATTTCTTTCCGGTGTGCAGCCTTTTTGCTTCGATAAATCAATAGGTTCATTCTTAATGGGAGTCTTTGGGGCCATCCTGGATCGATCATATATGTTTTCCTATTAAAAACAAAGTTTTTTAGACACAAGAGGAAAAAACCATTCCATCAATCAATTTCATTATTCTTATGAAGTTATTTTTACTGACTTGTGCCTTGGTACTCAGCTATATTTAGCACAGTTCTTCTGCCTTTGTGTGGAATGTCAAAATATTCTACATGTTGCTATACTGGAGGAAGTGTATTTGAGATACTGCCTTGAAATACAGACCCTGAGGTCACCCAATCTAACCTGTGGCCTAAAGGTTAGGCTTTTAAACTCTGACTGTTCTTACAAGAAAGCATTGCCCACAAACATAAATCACCAAATTGCAGGGAAACTGAAATCATGCACTGGCCACATTACACTTAGCAAGAAAGTAGAGTTCTCTTTGAAAGGTCCCAGGTTAAAAGCCGTGCTGGGGATGCAGCTCATCTCACAAAATATCAAACTAAAGGGGACATAACCTCGTGTCCAAGCAAGGAAAGTTTTGCATCTGCACAGTCTGCTGCCCAAAGCAACCAAGAAAATCTTCAAAACTGTTCCTTGACTACAGCTAAGAGCTGCTAGGAGGAAAAGTCTGATTCATCAGCTGATTTTTATCTTTTCATGAATGATGCTCAATTCTTTCCAGTCCCTAGCTGCCATCAAACTTTTTTTGTATTTCAGCTCTGGATCTCTTTCTCTCACTGCAAGAATTATCACTACAGACGAACTCCCTTCAAGGGATCAACTGAAGGAAGCATTATTGGTATCCTTGATATAATATATTTTATTTTGTGCTGTAAGAAATCCAATTCAGAAATTAAATAAAGGCCCGAAACAAAATATTAATTTATACTGGATTACCATAAGAACTTTCTAAAGTTTTGCCTTTTACTTGGAGTAATTTAACTATTCTGTAGCTGAAATATATTTAAATAGGTGATTCCAAGGGTCATCCTAGCAGGCACAGTCTAGCTGGAAAGCAGAAAAAAGTTCTAGTAACAACTGAAACTGGCTTTTACTAGGTGCAGTTTTGTAGCATTCAGACTGGAAACAAATTTGGCACATCAAAAGCATTGTGCTCTGAGCACTGATGAACACTTCTGCATACATTCATCTATGAATTACCCAAAAGGATGTAATAAATACATCTCTTTTTTACAACTAACAGTCAGCCAGTTGTAACTTACTACACTGTGATAAATAGGGGTCAATTTAGAGGCCTTGGAATATATATTCATATAGTGTTGGCACTCAATATTTTCTTGCAATTTCACGTTTGGCAGTGAATCAACCCTTAAGTAATGCAGAAAGTCTATCTTCCCCTAAAGTTTCTGTTCATTATGGCTGGTGGCAGTGGAGCTGCAGTGAGGGCAGCTGAAGCAACCTGCTGTTTCAGTACCTCAGATGTTCATGTTTGTGCAAATACAATGAAAAGCACATGACTATGCCCTTTCAAATCATTTTTTCCTACTATCAGGTCTTAATTTTCTACTATCATTATTACCTAAGGTAAGAAACACTTTTACCCTCTCTCCCCTTTTTTTTTTTTTTCAGTAGCTGCAACACACTGTGAAGTCCTACCTGTATTGCACAAAATCTCAAGGGCAGTTGGTTGAAGAATGAGATAGAGAACAGGAAAGGCCAGCCTGATGAACTTAGTATGTGAGCAGGAATTGAAACAAATCTCTGATGTAATAGGAGTGTAATCTGACAAGAACTGTGTGAATTTTGGAGGACTCAGATTGAGCATGGACAACAGGTCATGAATTGCATCTAGTTCAGGAGACACTACCGAGCAAGGTTATGCCCAAGACTACACAGGCTGTCTCCTGGCTGCTGAGGCAGCAGGAAACAATGAGCTTGCTCCTTGCTGAGTGGCCCTACTTAGCCTCTTGACTGGAGAGCTCCACTTTATGAATACAGGCCAGAAGGCAAGCATAGTGGACGTATCCACGAGTGTGCTCAAACTACTGTTAATTAACAGAACTATACTATTCCTGTGCCAAGTTAAGAACCTTGTGGTTCTTACCTTTAGAATCATGAGTCTTTACAAGAGCCTTCTCCACCTTACCACATGCTAGCCACTGGGATACTTGAGATCACTGAGTGAGTTCTACTCAGGTGAAAGCTGAATGGTGTTTCCCTGCGAGCGTAGTGCCAGAACGCGATCACTTCACTTACTGACACGGCTGGCACGACTCAGGCTTCTACACGGGGTTATTTCTTTACCTTAAGGGTAGTGCTGGACATCCCAGTGCCCCAGGTGCTCACAGGGAAGATGCTGCTGCACAGTAAGAGGACAGAGCAGGTCCGATGGGCAGCACCTCAAAGGCTGCCCACGGGAGCCACACAAGCGGCGCAGAGCCCGACTCCCCTCCAAGCGCCCCGGGCGGCGGCCCTGCACCCGCGGCGCTGGGGCTCCGTGGCGCTCTGGCCGCCCCCTCCCTCTTCCTCTCCTCCCCGCACCGGCCCGCGGCTCCGGACAGCGCCTGCAGGGAACGCGCGGCGCCGAACCGGACCGGGCCCCCCGCCGGCGCTCCCGCTCACCTTCTGGGCCGCCTCGGCGCGGCCCCGCCGCCCCGGCCGGGCGCTCGCCAGGTCCCGCAGCGCCAGGACGCTCACCTCCATCTGCAAAGCGAGAAGGCGCTTTTAGCCCGGCTCTTAAGAGGAGCCGCTCCCGTCCCCGGAGGGACGCGCGGGGAGCGCGGCCGCTCGGGGCTGCGTTCCCGGGCAGGGAAGGAGGGAAGGAGGGAGGGGAGGGAGCGGGAGGCTCGGCGGGCTCCGCGCCCTCACCTCGGCCGGGGCCGGGGCGCGCGGGGGGCGCGCGGCTCTGCCGCTCCCGCCAGGCGCCCTCAGACATCGCTTTACAATCCGGCCAATCAGGCGCGGCCGCCGGGGAGCCCCGGCCGCGCCGCCGGCCAATCAGCGCGCGGGCAGGCGGCGCGCGGCATCGGGCGCGCGGGACGGGGACTCCCGCCCGCGCGGAGCCGTTTCGCTCCTTTTCTTGGCGCCGCCGCCCTCCCCCCGCGCCCTTCCCGCCGCCCGCCGCGCCAGGCGGGAAAGGGCCGGCGCTGCCTCCGCCCGGAGAGCCGCCGGAGCCGCTGCCCGTCCCGAAACCCGCTAGCGGGGAGCGAGGGCTGAGACAGCGAGAGGCGGGTGCCCCTCGGTGGCCCGGCCGCCGGCTCGTAGGAAACGCCGCCGCGGTGTCCGCGCCGGGGCAGCGCCGCCCGGGGCGTGGGTCCAGCGGCTCAGCAGCCCCGGCAGCTCGGGCAGCGCTGTGGCCCTCCACCGCATCCCCTGAAGCGAGTCGGAAAGGTAGAGCGAGCAGACGCCATGGGGAGCGGTGTGGAGCCTTCGCTTTTCCCTGAGGCTGCTCCGTGCGTTTCCCTCCTTTGGTACCTCATTACGCACCCAGATAGAGGAAGAACTAAAAGGGAGCCGTGTCCAAAGTTAACAAAGCAAACAAATCCCGGCAGCCTGTGAAGTGGTGCAGTGATGAGATTATAGTCGTACCTGTTGAGACTAGGGAGACACAAAGTTGCCAAAAAAAAAAAAATAAAAAAGGAAAAATTGTTAAAATCATTGCTTTCTGCAATGCTGAATACTTCAGTTACGAAAGTAATTGCTCTTCGCTTGAGACCAAAAAAAAAAAAAAAAGGGGAAAATTGTCAAACTCATCGCTTTCTGCAATGCTGAATACTTCAGTTACGAAAGTAATTGCTCTTCGCTTGAGACCCTTGCTGGAGAAATTTGCTCTGTGCAGTGTAATTAAATTTGTGTTTTGAAGTGTATTTAAGATTTTTTTTTATGTAGGATTTTTTATTAAAGTTGCAACAGCAGACATGCTGCTGCATTATTCCTGTCTTGTTTTGTTGTGGGAGGACTTCCCTCTGAAATAGCTCATGAGCTGGTAATGAGTTGTCATAGAAGAAAAAATCCAAGGCACAGTTCTGATAATTTATAAAAATATTCACTTAGTAATTTTGGTGGAATAGAATAATTTTCTTTTCAATATGAATGTAGAAAACAGCTAGATATTGTCTCTTGCATTAATTATAATTTGTTAATTTTTAAAATACTCTCTTTTTTTTTCTTTTCAGCAAGTTCCAGTACACCACAGTTTGCTGAAGAGAATTAAATATAAACTCTCAGACAACCTCCTTTTATTAAAAAAAAATCTTAAATGGCCCTGTACAAAACAGCTCTTCATGCTTTTAAAACCTTCCTATTTTTAAGAGGAACATGAATTCTGTAACTGTGCAGTGTGTGTCTCATATTTGCAGATATGTAGAGAGAAATATTTATAAGGAATGAGCTATCACTGCTGCTCTCACTCATAGGAACTCTGAAAACAGACTCATGAGAAGCATAAGAAATGCAGAGTCATGGAAAATGTAGGCGGAATCTCGTGTCACAGACTGACAAGCCCAGGCATGATTTCTAGACCAAAGGAGAGAAGTTGAGAAGACAGTGTAGCAGCTGAGAACCTGCTTGTGTGCTGCAGCCCCAGTGACAGGAAATTGCCATCTGTCCCTTTTAGTCATCTACTTCAACTAAAGTGACACCGAAATATACATTCTCAGACCTTTATCTTAGATCTGTCACAGGCATTTGTGTATCCACTGCCAATTAACAGCATCTATTGTAAGGTATTATGTGCTGTGAAAGTTTAATAGGTCTAACTGCAATTGCAACTCTAGCACAGAGATTTTCTTGTTAAGACATTGATGGTGGCTAGGTACTTAACATTTGGGTCACTTGCTGAAATATCATGGCATGTGCATGTAGAAGTTCATTTGATCATTACAGTGATTGTTTCTGGCCTTAGTAATCTGGTAATTTATAAGCCATTATTAGGAATATCTGTAGGTTAGCACAAAATTCGGGAGGCCTAAGTCTAAATACCTGTCTAAATCATTACAGGCTGTGTAGGCAATGGGATACTTTCTACTTGGGATGTTACTGACTTGTAATGCTATGGTTTTGCTGCTGGGATGGACCTGGGGCCTTATTTCACCTTCAAGACTTGTGGCTTCTTACAGGTTAAGGAAGCCTCTGAATATAAATGAGTTACTATTAAAGGTCTCTCCTAGTCCTCAAGGGAGAATAATTTGAATCACGTTTGACACCTTCATTTGGTGTTGCTGTCGTTTCCATGCACTGTGTTCCTGGCAGCAGAGCTCTGGCTGAACTCTGCTGCATTCAGCCCCAGAAGGTGTGGAGCTCAGCATGTGGACGAGAAGCAGAAAAGCAGAGCTGCAGGGAGAGAGGGTCGTGCCTGTGCTTAAAGGAGGTGCTAGAGCCCGCTTGGGCACTGAGTGCAGTAAGGGGTGTGTGAGTCACATCCGTAGACTGAGGTGGGAGAAGTGACACGTAGCACCAGGTGGGCAGCTGTGGGAGCTGCAGTGAGTGTGAAGGGACACGGTGCTGGTTTCGTCTGAGGATATGCTTTTTATTTAGACTGGAGAAGTGCGTTTCATGGGAGGTATTGACAGTGATTTGGATTCCTCTGTACAATGATTCTTCTGTAACATGGAAAAAAGAATGTTCAGAATTAACATATTAAACTGTTGTACAATATGATGACTATATAGAACATAAAAATATTCTTTGCTGTTTGCTATATATTTTTATATAGAAACATATTTGTTAAGCAATGCTAATCTTTCCATGAGATTAATACAGAGTGTTGTAGTGCATTTAATAAGCAATTTCTTTGTTCAGTGAAATAAACAAAGAACCAAATCTCTAATAGTGAAATGTGGATTTTAACTGGTAAACAAGTTACGAGTTAATCAGAACAAGACTATGACACTGCATTTCCTTGCTTGGCTACAGCAGCTGAGAGAAGGTGGCTGATTATCAGATAAGACTAATTGTTGCAGCCATCATATTTCATAACATTTTCCAATTTCAATATTTATTTTTGTATCTATTTTGATATGCACAGGTAATCTACTACAACTGGCAGGAGTAAGTTAACAAACTGACAACTAAATTTAAATACAAGTGCCTTCTCTTGAATGATTTTGTTATTTAACTTTTTTTTACAGGACCAAAACCCATTATCTGATTATTTATGATTTTGAATGAATCATGCATGGACTAATATATATATATGTATGTGTATATATATATATATTATTTATTTAAAATTAATATTATTGATAATTAAGCATTTCTATTAATTTACATCAATTTGTTTCTACACTTGTAAATACAGTATTTCATGCAAGGTAGAGTTGAAAGTGCCAATTCTTTGTGATAGAAAGCCAATACCTTTGACAGAGGAGATGGATAAAAACAAATATCAGTGTGTTCAACAGCACTTTTCATCTCAGAATAGGAAATAGTTTTTAAGACCTTTAAACCTGTATGACTTCTTGCAATACAAGAAATATGACGGACCAAAAACCCAGTAGTTCCTCTATTCTTTCTCATTTTCTTGGCTGCCTTTTCCTATGAGCTCAGTTGTGATGGAAAATTACATTTCTCCATCTGTTTTGGCTGATATTTGAAATTTCAGGTCAAAAGCTAGGAGAGGAAGAGACAGATCCAATTACGAGCTTTTATTTCCATTAAAAGCCAGACTGAGTCACCCAAGTCACTGAGCCATCAGGGAATCTGTGTACACCAGCATTCTCACCAGTGAAGGAGGGAGTGCCCAGTGTCTGTTGGTGATGATTTCCCAAAATGCTGCTGACTTAGCTATCATCTCTTCCCTGGCGCAGCCTGGAACTTCCCACCCTTCAAGGACCTCAGGCTGCCTTGCTCTAGGCATGTTCTGCACCAGCAGGGACAGTAGCCATGACCATAGGACATTCAAAAACAGCTGGAGGAGATTGTATTAGGAGTGCTTCTATGGACATGTGGAGTCAGTAGCAGGGCTGGGAGTGGGACCTGGACCCAGCAAAACCCTTCTCCTTCCGTGCTGTGGGTCACTTCCTTTTGAAGATTGCAGCACTGTAATACAGAGCTGGGGCAGGAGGGGCAGAGAGGGGGTCACAAATAGACCACAGGTGAGTGGACAGGGAAGATATGCACATTGGAAACCATTCCACTAGAGGAGGGGATTGGATGAGTTTCCCGTTTTCTGCCTGCTGTAGTTGCTTAATGTTCTATCAGTATCATTGCTTTGTCTCTTGGCTCTGTCTTATCTATGAAAACAGTAGGTGATTTCCCTGTACTGAAATCAAGGAAGGCACCAATGATGTTTAACCTGAGGCTACAGGTTCATTGAAGGGCCTCAGGTCTTTGATATTTCCCACTGCTCAATTCAGGTGCAGCCCTGCTCCTGATTCACACAAGGCTACTGACTTTTTGCCTAGTGGGTAGTGTAGGCAGCTGTTCCAGCTGGTTTGGAAAATCCCTTCTAGAAGCTGAGGACCTGGCATGGCAATGCCTCAGTCCTTTTATGGGTCTGATCTCAAGTAACCTGCCAAAGGTCACATAAGGAAGCAGGTAGCTTGCTAAATCACATGGCCCTTGAATCAGCTTTTCACCTGAAAATCACTTCCAGCTGCTGCTGTTAAAAAACCTGAATCCTTCACAAAGGATTGCACTGGTAGCATTGCACTCCCATTATTTTGTTCAGAATTAAATTGCTGTTTGCATACTGAAATTAATGG